ATTCCCACCAAGATTTTCTCAACGAGCGTTGTTGAAGTTAAAGTCACCCAAGGTTCTCTTACCGTTCCTGCTGAGGTAGTAACCATCCCTGGTTCATTCGTCATCTTGTGAAGCTCCAGACTCAGCTCCTGTAACCAGGCAGGACACATATATACCAAGCATCTTAAAACCAGCTCCTGCAACATGTCAGGTACTCTTTTTTTTTTTTTGCAGGTATGCAGGTTCTCGCTAAGGAATCTCTTATGCGATCAACATCCAGATGGAATCTATAAGCCCATCATCCTATTCATCAACCTCCAAATGGCATCTGTAAGCCCATTTCCACCATCAATGCTACTATGTGAGCGCAAATTTCTGGGCACTCTAGTGTTCAATCATCTTCCACCTTCGGATTACGAAAGGCACGTCAGCCAATCTGCATCCTCAGGTCTAAGAAGATTGAACAGGGGCAACTGTTGTACCCCAAAATTTGCCCTCCCATATTCTTCAAGAAATTGCCAAGTCATGCTTCAAAATTCCCCAAGGGTTGCACAGTTCAAGGGCCTCCTAAGCAGTCAAAATTAGGGTTTTTGTTCTGATCAAGAAAATGAAGTTTCCAATAGTCCAATCAAGTCTCACATGCCTACAAATATGGTCAAGCATCCTCATACCAAGTTTCAAGACATTTAGCTCAAAATTGCACAGTCAAAACCCTAAATTGCACTACAGTCAACTGTAGGGGCAAAATGGTCATTTGGCAGTCAAAAGTTCAAATTTTTGGTCAACATATCATTTTGAAGCCTCAAACATCATTTGATCAATGCTTGATCATGATTCTCAAAGTTTGGCTCAAAAATCATCAAGATGCAAAAGTTTCCTTATTTGGACAGTTGAAAAAGTCAACTGTAAATTGACCAGGGCATAACTCTCACATGGATTATCAGAAAAATTCCATCCAAAGCTCAGTTTGAAGAGAAAGACATTTCCTACAACTCATCTTCATACTTCAAGTCCAAGAAATGCTCTCACAAAAAGTTATCAATTTCAACATTATAGGTCATTTTCAAAAGTCAACAAAAAGGGACTTTAAGTCAAAGGCCATAACTTGAGATTGGTAAATCAAAATGACATGGTACCAAAGGCATTGGTTAGAGGACTCAAAGACCTTTCCAAAATGTCCACGAACATGAGAAAAGCTTAAAAATTGAGCAAGTTATGCCTTGTGGAAGTTGGGAAATGTTTGGATATTTTGAAAAGTCAACATTGATTCAAATGACCTAAAATTGCTAATGGGCCCATTTTTTTTCCATAATTCATCATCCATGGCATGTGCACGACCACTTGGCCCAAAGGGAAGTTTTTATTCATTTTTTATTTATTTATTTGGATTTTTATTAATAATAATTCATTTAAATTAAAATAAATATATGAAAAATGTTTAACCTAATTTTTTCAATCTTTTTGTGCACATTATATCATCAATATTTCGTGCCTAGCTAAATATGGAAAGATTTGGATTGATTGATCATGATTTGTACAAAAAGCACATGGAAAATATTTGAAAAAGATCTTAAAAATCAAATTTCCAAAAACCATGAATGCAATTGATTTGTTCTATTTTTCTTGACCTAATTGACTCAATACATAAGCCTGAATACAACCCTAATGCTTGGGACCATAAAAGCTGCGCAGAAACCATTATCAAACTTGAATTTTTTTTGCAAGAAACTCAAAACTGAAAACCCTTTTGCAGGTTGATTCAAGGCTTAATAGCTGTTTAAACACCTTCCTGGAGGTTCATTGAACGATTCTCAATCACAAACATTCATTAAAACATCAAGAATCGGTATACAGAACTTGAAATTTTTCATGAAAAATGCATAATCGTGTTTCATATTCTAGGCATTTTCATTGTGTTTTCTTGATACATTCATACTAATTGGCTTGTTCTGAAACTAACCATGTGCTTCGATTGAAGTTTTATGCATTATACACGATTTCGCCATGAGAGAATATTAGGGTTTTGCAAGCTTCAAATTAGGGATTCTGTAACAAGGAAAAATTAGCACCCCTGACCACCACCATTCAAATCAGCGCGTTCAGACGGTTACAAGGCCACCCTCGCGCCTAATTTATGGAGCCCCTGGGGCTAGTCGCTATTTTTCCTAACATGGCCTTTTAGAACGGTGTAAAACCGTTGCTTATGTCTTTTTGATTTCAGGAAAATAAAAACCACGCGAGGAAGACGATAACGTGGGGAGCGCTGATTGGAAGGTTCAAAATTTCGCGCGTTTTGAATCACTAACGCAATTGTTCTTTTTATAATATTTGTTGTTTGTTTAGTATTAATAATGCGCATCTGGCTCCACTGGAAAGCATAAGGATTGGCAAAGTACCTGACCTGGGTTCGAGCCCCAGGTCTTCAATATTCTCAATATTATTTTGCAATTAATGATCATATGCAGGTCCAACTTCAAGGCGTACCATACACCCTCCAGATCAAACCATCCACGTGCATATTGGAATCAAATCAAAGGTGTAGGTCTGGGGAACACCATAAGCTTGAGTCAACATGCCAGCACGTGGCCTGGAAAAGTCAAACGGACCAATGTCTTGATGGGCCTAAAATTTCTAAAGATACCTCCTAATTTGGGGTCTGAACCCCCTAGGTTTGCCATAATATTTTCTATTTTTATTTTCTATTTGCTTTTAATTATTATTGTTTTATTAATTAACTAATTATTTTCATAAATATAAAAAACATAAAAAAATCAGAAAAGGAAAAAACAATAAATATTTTATTTTTAGTATTTTCCATAAATCAATTGTATATAATTATTTAGTTTTAAATTAGGTTGTAATTTTAATTCTTTTCATAATAAAATCTAAAAAAACATAGAATTAGGTTTAATTAATAATTTGTCATCCTTTTATTTTTCTTTCATAAATAATATTATTTACTTTATTTATTTTCATAATTAAATTTGTATATAAACATTAGGGTTAATTTAGGTTAAAATTCAATGTTTTCTTAATAAATTAAAAACCACTAGAATTAGGGTTTGCATCTTATTTTAATTTTAATTAATTCTTTTTCATTAAAATCCTAAAATACTAAAAAATATCAAAAACATCTCCTTTTCTTTTTCTTTAATTAATTAATTCCTCATTAATTTAATTTTGCAAAAAGGGTCCAACGCCCTCGTTTCGATTTAATTTTGTATTCGCATATTTCTTTTATTTCGCTTAAATATTTATGTATCTCTCCCGAAGCCTTGTAATTAATTACTCGCACTTTTAATTCTTTACCTTTCTTTATTTTTCTGTCAAATCGGGTTCGAGAAGCTTTTGGCGATGTGGACCCGCGCCTTTTGTAATAGCTTAGAATTTACTTTTCCCGCAATATTTTTAACTATTATTCAAATGGCATGAAAGAATGTATGGATTAAAATAAAAACAAGCGTAGAACACCTATGACATGACAAGACAAATTATCTGAAAACGACACACAAATCACACACCACCCCTAGGGTACGCCTCACTGTTGCCTTGCCTCGAAAGGTGATCGTCGAGTAGAGGATGTCTTAGTAAGTCCTCATGATCCGGGAACCTGGCATGAGGGTAGCTTCTAAGGTGTCTTCCCATTGCTCTGGTGATCACCATGTCCCGAACCTCGAATTGACCCGAACACCTCCAACGGTGGTGCTACCTACCTCTCAATGGTGGGATGGCACTATTTTAAAGGACATTTACACAGACGAATTCCTTAGGGTAGGTAGGTTCTCTAGATACTTGCTCTGAATTTCAAAACAAATCAAAAATACTTTTCACACTGACACCTTTTCAAAAAGCTTTCGAAAGCAATTTTTCAAACACTCTTGAGGACCGATACAAGAGTCGAACTGGAATTTTCAAAGAAACTTTTTTAAAACCCACATTGAAAAGCAAACAAACATTTTGAAAACACAATGAGCAAGTATCTAAGAGCCCATGGATAACCATGGATAGAAAGGGTGCTAACACCTTCCCTTTCTATAATCTACCTCCCGAACCGAGAGCAATCTCTTTAAGGAATTTTTCTGTGCTTTTGTCCTTTCCATTTGGAGAAAATAAAAGACGGTGGCGACTCTTGCTTCCGCGACATTTCGCGAACCAGCGTTAAACAGTCAGTTCCAGATCCACCGATCACAGTTGGGTTTACCAATCAAGAAAGACATGGGACTCTTTTTTCTTTGTCGTTGCTTGGCTGTAAACCAAGTGCTTTTCGATCTTAGCCGATCTCAGGTTGACTGTCTCTCCGGCCCCCTTTCGGTGCACTTATTGGAGAGCTCTTTGGGCATGCGGCTTTCTCAATCGAAAATGGAAACCTTTCAAGATTAGCCTACTGAACGATTCTTTCTATCACTTACGTGATTTTTTCTCTTAGTAAATTTATAGAATAAGGGATTCAGGATTCAATTGAAAATGGTACTTTTTTTTATTGAATTCAACCAAACCAAGAACTTCTTCTCTTACATAAACTATCAACTATTATAATATAATAAGTTACTTCCTCCGGAAAAGCTATTATTCCATTCGAGGGACCTTTTTTACTTACTCCTAAAAAGTTAAATCGACACTTTTCTTTAGGGAATTTTTTCATAGATCGGATTTCCTTTCCTACGAGACATCGAAATGTGCCATTTTTCCTTGGTTGGGAAAATTGTCCTAAATGTTGATTTCCTTTCTAAAGGTGCAATCTATAGAAGCTTTAGCAAAGGGCGGGCTTGTCGAAGGACCATCTTAGGGCATTCAAACTTCCAAGGCAAATACGCCTATGCCTGGCTTCCTTCCCCCACAGAACACTATCTATCGTGGCGTGGGATAAAATTTAATTATCTTTTTTCCTCGGTATTTACCGCTGTGCCCATGCACTATCAAGAAGAAGGAATACCCGGCAAAGTCCCTTCTACTCATAGCGGGTTATTTCTCTCCTAAATTAAGGCAGTGAACTTGGTTTGTGCAAGAATAGGTTGAGAGCTTTAAGCTAAGATCGAGACGGGAACATAACTGAAAGCAAGTAGACAGATAGGTTGTTTTCGACGAATCCCCTGCTTGAGAATCAACTGTTCGCGTTTCTCTTGCGCTATAGCCGGGAGAAAAGAAAGACGAAGGAGGGATCCTGCATGTGCAAGCTGGAACCTACTACCGAACCTACGATAGAAACAAGAACGAGGGAAACAAGGAATTACAAGCAAATGCAAGAGGAAGAGGGGTTATACCGAGCTAAAAGCAAGGGATAACAAGGAAAGACAGGTTATAAGAGTTAAGGTTTTAATGCGTGCAATGTACCAACCTTAAGCTCCAATATCGTTCCCATTACATGCTTTTCCTCCTCGTAAGACTAACGGGAAGCACTAATGCTCTCTTGTGACTGGCAAACACCAGCTTTCAGCCTTTGTTTGTAAGTTAAATATAGGCTTAGAGCTTGGAATTTGAAGATTGATTCGTTTTTCAAGGAACAAGGGTTTCAGAAGTGTGAGATGGAGTATGGTGTTTATGTTCAGCATACTTCAAAAGGTAATAAGATTCTGGTCTGTTTGTATGTTGATGACATATTACTCACAGGAAGTTCTGAACAAGAAACAATTGAGTTCAAGAAAGTTCTGATGAATGCGTTTGAGATGACAGATCTTGGAAAAATGAGTTTCTTTCTAGGGATGGAATTTATATACTCTGAGAAAGGAATCATCTTACATCAGAAGAAGTATGAACATGAGCTTATGAAAAGATTTGAGCTAGCAAATTGCAAGGTTGCTATCACACCCGCTGATACAAATCAGAAGTTGGATTCTGATTCTGATGGAAAGGATGTGGATGCTACAACCTTCAAACATATGGTTGGTTCTCTGAGGTATTTGTGTAATACCAGACCTGATATTTGCTATGCAGTTGGAATGGTCAGCAGATACATGAGCAAACCAAAGTGGTCTCATTACCGAGCTGCTGTCAGGATTCTGAGGTATGTAAAAGGAACTCTGAAATATGGAGTGTTATTTCCTTCTGGAGGAAAGATCAAATCAGAACTTCTGAGTTATTCTGATTCTGATTAGTGTGGAGATAGAGTTGACGGAAGAAGTACTTCTGGGTACTTGTTCAAGTTTCTGGGAGGTCCAATTTCTTGGAGTTCCAAGAAACAGCCTGTTGTGGCTTTGTCAACATGTGAAGCTGAATACATTGCAGGTGCTGTAGCTGCTTGTCAAGCAGTTTGGCTTCTGAATCTGCTGCATGATCTGAAGGTTGAAGTTAAGGAACCTCTGAAGCTAATGATTGATAATAAATCTGCAATTAATCTTGCAAAGAATCCAGTGCTACATGGAAGAAGCAAGCACATTGAGACGAAGTATCACTTTCTCAGAAGTCAAGTGCAGAAAGGAGTGTTAAAAGTTCTGCACTGTAGCACTCAGAAGAAGCTAGCAGATGTTCTTACAAAGGCGATAAAAACAGACCAATTTCTTCGTTTGAGAGATGAAATTGGTGTTTTAACTTCTGATAAGTTACTAAATTACGGGATGGTATTAGAGGGTAATTTAGTATTTTTCATTTGTAAATATTTTCATTAGGGCCTATGTGGCATTCTTATTTGTGTATAAATAGGTGTACTAGGTTTACATTTAATACAATCCAATTCCTTCAATCATTAGTGGCAGCTTTTAGCATTTATTCCTTTTCTCTCTTCTTCCTCAATTTCATCACCTTGCACTAACAATAAGTTGTTTCAAGGTTGCATTTCCAAGAGCTCATTCATTGTTCAAGTCCATTATGAATTCGAAGGTTCATTCAAAATTCAAGACGTTCAAATATCCAATATTCATTCAATTTACCACTTCAAGTTCTATTCTATTCACCATACTTAAGTGGAATACAAAGATCAAGACATCCAAAATTCACAAGGATCATTCTTACATTCGAGACTACAAAATCCATTTATAATTTTCAAAACAATTCAAGGCTTTATTCAAATATTCAAAGTTTCCTTCAAGAATCCAAGATATAAAGAATTATTGTTCATTGTTCATCATGATTCTGTACAAGATTCATCATCTTTTCCTACAAAAAAAATAATGGAATTACAAAGAAAGTGTTTTGAATCCAATTACACAAACCTATTAAAACAAAAATCCTAAGCCTAAATCTGCAATCTTCAATATCAAATATTTTCCAAACCTTACCTCTTTCCATTTTGTCCCCTTGTGCCAAATCTATCCAAAAACCATCACAAAACCGTGACCCTGTCCACCCTGCTAACCTTATCCTATGCTGCCCATAACCAGTCCAAATAACTGCTCTCAAATCCTGCATAAAACAGCCCCAAAACAACCAAGATGTTTCTGCATCTTCTTGTCCAAAATCATCCTTGCTTCCCCTGCATAGGAGTCCAAAAACTTGCACCATATCAGTCCAATATTTGCACAAATTCAGCAAAAACAAAACTACAACAAACAAAGCTATAAACAGTAGCCAAAACAGTTCAAACCTATCAGTTTTCCCCCCAATTTGCACCCTTTTCACACCTATAAAAACAACTTTTAATGATATAAGAAGGGAGAGATCCTAAAAAGAAAAAGCAATAGAAAAATTATGTTCAAAAGAGAAGAAAACGAAGAAAATATCATCTTTCAAAAAAAACCCTCTCCAACCTTATCTACAGACCCCTCTCAACCCATCACAAGGCTGCAACATTCTGCATAAACATTATCTCAACTCAACACCATTCTCAACCTCACTAACAATAAGCATAAAAATCTTCTATTACAAATGAAACAATACCGCAACAAACTCTGTCCAAAACCTCTCCAATACCCTGCAACAATCCTTAAGTTCACAAACCTATCATAACCTTCACCATAACCTTTCACAAACTACACAAACGCGTCGCACACAGTCGCAGCAACACACGCATAGAATAGAAACAAATTGGAAGGAGAAGAAGTTAAGGAGCAATTTTTTACCTCTGGTTTTCTTGATTTATTGTCAGAGTTGGAATCACCGGACTTTCTCCAATCTTGTAAGTCTCCCTTTCTTGTCTCATAAATATTTTGTTGTTTTATATTGCCTTGAATTGTTGTTGCATTGTTATTGTTTAGAGATTAGAGATATAATTTGATGTTGTTATTACATGAAACTATTGTTTTTATTTTCTATTTATTGAAATCATACCTGAGAGTAAATCGGAAAACTAAAATCTGAGCCGTTTCAGTTGTTGTTGTTGTTGTTACTATTAAACCATACATAAAACTCCACAACCTTTAGCCTTGTATCCTTAAACCTCGCTTCCATTCTCACTTCTCTTATTCATAACTATATTCATCATTGTAATCATTTATTTTTTGTTCTCCCTCAACCTCACTATCATCATGTAACCCCCTCTGTTCTCCGCGATTTCCATCACCTCAAGCCACTCATCAACATCGTTGTTTCTGCCATCTAACCCATTATTTCCGCAAACTTATCCTAACTCAACAGCTCAGCACACCCCACAACAACCTTGTGTCAATCTTCAAACTCTATCTTCATCTTCTCAAAACGCAAATCATGGTGATGGCTTCGTTGGGTGTTTCGTAAGCCATTATTTCTTCCAACACAACAATTTCATATACCTGATCCCCCACTCTGGTGCGATTGTCGCTGCCACAACCGTTTCATTTGGCCAAAACGGATATTAGATTGATAACTGAGAGCAACATGGAAATGATATTTTTGCGGTTACAAAGAGTCATAAGAAACTGAAGTGTTAATTTGATCTCCACACTCCTGCATTCGTCATTTTACTCTTCTTATAGACCTTTCTCTAAATCATCATCCTACATCGTCATGGTTTGAATTTAGGAATTTCTAAACTGAATTAGAAGCGGAGTCAAATATCATGTCGCCAAGCTCGATTCGGAAATCGGTGACTTCCAGAAGCTTCTTTTTACTAGAACACTCAAACTCAAGAAACTTGGTATTCCTTGCAAGCATAGGAAGCTAATATTGAAACATGCATACAAGTACAGGCTGAAAGCTTCGCCTCTCTTCTCAAGTTCCAACTTGAAGATGCGGTTGAGAAAGAAGAGTTTCAAGAAGCGGCCAAGTTAAAGAGGGCTATAGAAGAAGCAACATTCAAGGACAGTGTTGCAAAAATTATGTCACAATTGAAGAACATTGTGATGAAGAGGAAGTATATCAGAGAGAAAGAGGAACAAATGAAAGAGGAAGAGTTGAAGTGCGTTTATGTGTATGAAGAGTAACTGTATTTTTTAATTGATTAAAAATTGGTAAATAAAAAATAACTAATTGTGTACCCATAGCCTATGTATGCGGCGCCCTTCCTCTGTAATTAGGCTTTACAAAAACCTTCTCTTACTCCTTTCACAAAACCGTGTTTGGGCATGTTTTGTTTGGCCCAACCCAATTTTCAAATTTCAATTTACATATTAGCAAAAGCAAATAAATAAATGAATCAGAACATGGCGTAATGGTTGAGGTGCTAGACTGCAAGCAAGATGTACCGAGTTCGAGACCTGTGGGGGCATTTTTTCTTTTCTGTATTTTTTTTTCTTTCTTAACCCGTCCTTTTTTTTATTTTTAACAAGTAGTTTTGGGCTTTACCTGATTTAACTTCAGCCCCATTCAAAAATTCACCTTACTCCACCCTATATTTTTGTTTCATACCTCATTTTTATGATTAACTTAGTTTAGATTTCATTTGGTAAATTAGAATTTTAAGTTAGTTTAGAATTATTTTAATATCTTCATTTAGTTTATATTTAATTTAATAACTTTATAATTTTTATTTGATTTAGATTTAGTTTAGTAACTCTAGAATTTTTATTTTATATAGATTTAGTTTAGTAACTTTGAAATTTTTATTAGATGTTATTTAATAACCTTAGAATTCATTTAGTTTAGATTTAATTTAGTAAATTTTAGAATTTTTTGATAATCTTATAATTTTAAATAAATTTTGTTTTAATTACATCTTTGTTCTATATTTTTACTTTCTTTTCTATAAAAACACACCGAAAAACAATTTTTCTTTCTTTATTTGCTCGTAGTTTACTATTTTTCGCATTTCTTTTGATTATTGTAATTGTTTACGGTTTGTAATAGTTTGACTAGCCTTTTTACTTCATACCCATTCATAAAATTATACCCTCATTCCCGAAGCGTTGTAATAGCGTAGAACTTTATTTTTCTGCACTTTACTGTATTTTCTTATATTGTATAGTAATTAGGCGTGTATGGCAAGATTTAAAATCAATCGCTAGACAATCCTAATCAAAACAAATAATTGAATCAAACACACCTTTCACACGTGCACCTCTAGGATAACCTTGCTTATTGCCTTGTAAAAATAGTCATATCCCTCGAATATGGAACGCTTTAGCAAATAGCCTCGATAAAAAAGATCGTAGTCCCTCGATGACCCTTCGATGTTGCCTTCGGTAAAATTATCTGAGTCCCTTATGAAAATTGCTAAACCGTCTCACAAGTTTCCTTCTATGACTGTATGATGACCCACGTTTGTCCCTTCACATCCAATGATATGGTTCTCTACCAATTAATGATACAATAACACTATCTAAAGGAGGAGGAAAATAACAAAGACTTTTTTTGAGTAGGTAGATTTCTCGTAATTGCTTGCTCACAAACTAAAACCATTTCCACACCTCACACTTTCAAAATACTTTCAAATATCTTTCCAAACAACAAATATTTTCAAAACCAACACTTTGCATACATTCTCAATGATATGAGAATCATTACAAAGTTTTCTGAACAAAGGCGTTTTCACAATATTTTCAAACTTACACAAATATAAAGCATTTTAAAAGTGAGCTAGCAAATAAGATCCCGTAGATAACTACTAATGAAAAGGGTGCTAACACCTTCCCTTTTCATAACCTACCCCCCGAACTCAAGAAAAATTCTCAAAAGGTCTTTCAGGTTCTTTTCACCCTTTCCTTTATTAGATAAAAGAAAAGTCGGTGGATACTCTTGTTATCTACAACAATTGCGATAAAACGCAAAACACCAAGTCAGTTCTCTCACCGTATTACAAGGTGTAATACAACTTAATTATATTTGAATTTTCTTTGTTTTCTCTAATTTTGTTTAAATATTTTTCTTAATTCAAAAATCACCACAAAAATATTTTAAACTCTATTTTCAATATATTTTCATTTTCTGATTTTTATTTCTTAGTTTTATCATTTTTTTCATGATTAAATAAATTCAAGTAGTTTAATTAGGGGTTTAATTATTCTTTATGTTTTAGAATTTTATTTTCCTAGTTCTACTAAATAAATAAAAATCCATAAAAATGTTTTTGAGCTTCCCTATGAGTCTTCTTATTGAAAATAATTTTTGTCTAATTTTACAAAATTTGTGGGATGCCAATTAAATCATTTGTTTGGTTATATCACTTTTCTTTGTTTCTTTTTGATGTATTGTGTAAATAATTTTTATTTAATTATTTCTTTTGGGATAAAATTCAAGAAAAATATACTTACTAGTCCTTAGAATTTCCTTGAAATTTAGGGAGTCTTACACCAATTTTATTTGAATTTTAGATTAAGTATATTAATTTTGAACTTTAATTTCTCCTTTTTTAGGGTTTTTGTTGATCTTTCACATTGATTGCTTGAAAATTCTAACTTTCCATGCTTATAAAATCTGAAATAAATTTGTTTAGAGTGCTTGTACAAGTTGAGGTCATAAAGATCATTTTCTTTGAATTTTAAAATGTGATTTCATAATTTTTATAAATTGTTTTCCAAAACACCTTTAGTTTAAGAATTTTGCTAGCTAGTTTCAAAATATGCATTTTTTAATCAAGTTTCCACCTCAATCCAAGAACTCTAAGCTCCATTTCTGACTTTTATAGATTTTTTATCAAAGTTTGTGATTGAGAACATTTGTACATAATTCTTCTATAATTGTTAACATGACATGTGATACTGACTTGGGGTTTATTTTGGGACAAATTCTTCAACATTATTGGATCTTGGGTGTTGATAGGTTGAAAAACCAAATCCGCTGAGATGGATGAATGATGTTGACGATATTTGAAACTAAAATTTTATCTAACACATCCCTTCCCCTTTCATCTTATCTATTTCTCACTTGTACTATATGTTGTTGGAGAATGATCCATATATAATTTCTCTAAACATATGGCACAACTATTGCTATTGACCGGCCTCAAAATAGGTGCGACTTCTACATAAGTCCATTTACGATTGCTTAACATAGCGCTAAATTTTGTCTCGATTCAAGAAATGATCATTCGTGGCCCAAACCTATGTTTGCAAGCCCAAGTATGTTTAATTTAAAACCTTTGATCCAATAACCTTGAGGTTCATTGTTAGGAGGCTTTGGTCTTATCAATCCTCTAATGGACTTTCATAAAATTTGGTCTAAGTGAATCATTTAGACTTCGTTAATCATTTGTTGTTGCCTCGAGATTTTGAAATGAATGATATACTTTACAAAAAGCAAATTAAGCTTGTTATTGAGAGGCTTTGATTTTATCAATCTTCTAATGAGTTTTCAAATGCAAGTTTCAAGATGGTCATTCAACTAACCTCTAATTTATAAATCATTAATAATTGACTTTTATTTTTATGCTTTTACTTTACGCCTTTAATTAAGAACCATTTATTTTAGAATCTATATTTTCATCTTTGCTCACTTGAGCTTTTTATTTTCTTGTTAAAGATACCTAATAATCAACTTAAACCATAAAATCTTTAATGACCGCAACATGTGAGCCGATCTTTAAGTTGTTAAAGAAAGATCAGGGTTGTGTGTAGACTAATGATTGCCAAAAAGCATTTGAAAGTATTAAAGAGTATCAGTTGGAACCTCCTATCTTGCTCCCTCTTGTTGAAGGAAGACCATTGATTATGTATCTGACAGTGTTACATAATTCTATGGGTTGTATTTTGGGACAACAAGATGAAACAGGGAAGAAGGAATATGCCATTTATTATCTCAGCAAGAAATTTAATGACTATGAGTTGCGGTATTCTATGCTAGAAAAGACATGTTGTGCTCTGGCCTGGGCGGAAAAATGGTTACGGCAATATATGTTGAATCATACTACTTGGTTGATTTCTAAAATGGATCCAATTAAGTATATTTTTGAAAAGCCTACTCTTACTAGGAGAATTGACCGTTGACAGATTCTATTGTCTGAATATGATATTGAATACCGTACTTAGGAGGCTATAAAAAGCAGTGTATTGGTGGACTATCTTGCTCACCAACCGATGGATGATTATCAGTATGTTAAATATGATTTCCCTGATGAGGATGTTATGTTTTTTAAAATAAAATATTGTGATGAACCATTTTCTGAGAAAGGTCCTGATCCTGAATCTCGTTGGTGCATGGTGTTTGGTAGAGTTATGAATGCTTATGGGAAAGGAATTAGTGATGTGATCATCACTCCCCATGGATCGCATATCCCATTTACTGCAAGGTTGGCATTTGATTGCACCAACAACATAGCAGAGTATGAAGCTTGTATCATGGGACTCGAGGAGGCTATTGATCTCAGAATCAAAATTCTAGATGTGTATGGCAATTCAGCTTTGGTAATAAATCAGGTTAAAGGAGAATAGGATACTCGTCACTCTGGTTTGATTCCCTACAAAGAATGTGCTAGAAGATTATTACCCTTCTTTAATAAAGTTGAATTCCATCATATTTCCAGAGATGAGAATCAGATGGCGGATGATTTGGTAACTCTGGCTTCTATGTATCAAGTAAATACTTGGAACGATGTGCCTCGTATCACCGTGCGACATTTGGATAGACCAGCTCATGTGTTTGTAGCAGAGGAAACGTCAGACGAAAAACCTTGGTATTATGATATAAATAATTTTCTCCAGACTCAGAAATACCTGGCTGGTGCGTCAAACAAAGATAGAAAAACATTGAGAAGGTTGGCAGACAGCTTTTTCCTCAATGAAGATGTGTTATACAAAAGAAATTATGACATGGTCTTGCTCAAATGTGTGGATAGATACGAAGCAGACATGTTAATGCATGAAATCCATGAAGGTTCCTTTGGTACACATGCCAATGGA